CCTCTCAGTGTCGTTCCTGCAGTGATCAATAATACTGACCTCTCAGTGTCGTTCCTGCAGTGATCAATAATACTGGCCTCTCAGTGTCGTTCCTGCAGGGACCAATAATACTGACCTCTCAGTGTCGTTCCTGCAGTGATCAGTAATACTGACCTCTCGGCGTCGTTCCCGCATTGATCAGAAATACTGACATCTCAGTGTCGTTCCTGCAGTGATCAGTAATATTGATGACTACTGTGCTGCTCTTGCAGTGTGTAATAATACTGATAACAGGAAGAACAGGTACAGGAGAGTATAACAGCTCATTCTCTCTCTTCCTCCTTGACTCTTAGGACAGCCCCCTCATGTCAATCATCAAGGAGGTGGGACTCCCAAAAAGGCCACCAGTGAGGGGAGAGGAGACGCGGGACTTGTCAGAGCGTGTCCCACCCCCTCGGTCATCCTCGCCTGTGATTGGCAGCCCCCCAGTGAGAGCGGTACCGATCGGCACTCCACCCAAACAGCCCTTTGGTCACGGACTCAACCAGCACGTAAGAGAGGGGGTTCTGTTTGTGCTTGAATAATAGGACAAAAGGCAACTTGTCACAGGAACCAGATCAGGTTTAGAACATTCTCAGCACTCGTCTGGAAGGCTGTATGTTCAGTAGAGACTATTATTAGTGTTTTGAATCAGTCACATGCTCAGTCCTACTGTGAGTATTACAGTGATATGCTGTGTATGAAATGGATTGCAGTGCAGTGTTGGTGCTGTGTGCTCTAATAAACACTGTCTGTTCCAGATCCTGTGTCCAACAGCAGTTCATGTTCGAGCCCCCGTCCACCACAGATACCCCTCAACCTTCCCTGACAGACTGTCCCCCAACCAGCTGCTCAACATGGCTGTGAGTGTGTGCCAGTCTTCCTCTCTCTCTTATGGCCTCTGTGGGTTTCTCTAGGTCTTTTGGTCTGTGTGTCTCTTCCTGTCCGTGTCTCAGTGTCTCTCTCTGTCTTGTGTGTCTTTCTCGTGTGTCGTTTTCTGTCTCTTCCTCTCCTTCTCTCTGTCATCTGTGTCAGTGTCATCCTCTCTCCTTTTCATTTGTTATTATTTTAAAAGCCCTATTTTCACAGGCTGTCCAAGTCGCATTCAACTTCAAAGAGCTCTTTTGGCAAGACCATAGAATTACAGGTTTGCTAAAGCAGTAACAACAGAACATTTACAGTAATATTATTGAGAGACAGGCTCAGTGTCTGTTCCTCAGGCTGGGACAGGAGATCACACACTGTATTATTATTGAGAGACATGCTCACTGTCTGTTCCTCAGGCTGGGACAGGAGATCACACACTGTATTATTATTATTATTATTGAAAAACAGGCTCACTCTGTTCCTCAGGCTGTGGCAGGAGATCACACACTGCATTATTATTATTATTATTATTATTATTATTATTATTATTATTATTGAGAGACGGGGTCACTGTCTTTTCCCCAGGTTGTGTGGCACACTAGGCTACAACTTTGAGTTTTCACCCTCAGTAGAATCAGATTATGACAGGTGTAGCAATTCTGGGATCAGATCTCTTATTTTAGGGTAGTGTCTAATACCTCATACACACTGAATAGCTGCTCTCACAGCTGGTGGGTGAACGACAGGGTGGGCGGGTGCTGCTTCTGTTTGACTCTATGGGTGGGTGGAGTCCTGTTTATCAAGGCAAGATGGGCAGAGTCTTGAGGGATTGTTGTGACAGTAAACTTGTGGCTGTGTGGCTGTGATAAATAGAAGCTGCTGGTTTTTAATGTTTTTAACCACAAAAAAGTTACCATAAGATTAGAGGGACTTCACATTTCCTCAAGAATAAGGAAGTCAGATAAAGACTTGCTTCCCTCTTGTCCCCTGTCTCTCTCAGAATGCTCCTATGCGTGGCCATCCTTTTCCCTCTGGTGTGGGACCAGTCCTATCTCAGATACAGAGAGCCCAGCTCATTTCACCACAGGTACGGAGCAGAGAGTGTGTGGGAAAACAAGGGAGAGAGCAGGAGCTGTCGAGGGGGGTCGTGGGCTGTCGAGGGAGGGGCCAGGGTCGGCGTGGGAGGGGTCATTGTCTGTCAAGGGAGGGGCCAGGTTCGGCGTGGGAGGGGTCATCGGTTGTCGAGGGAGGGGCCAGGGTCGGCGTGGGAGGAGTCATTGTTTGTCAAGGGAGGGGCCAGGGTTGGCGTGGGAGGGGTTATTGGCTGTTGAGGTAGGGGCGCGGGTCAGGGTGTGTTGATGGTGTGTGCTGGTAGGCTGTGTACTGTAGGATCCTGTGAGTGTTTCTGTATTGACCCTCCACCTCCGCTCTCCCACAGGGTGCCCTCTCCCACAGTGCTTTCTCAAGGAGTGGGGGCCCCTCTCCTCTCCTGGCTCCAAAGCAGCTCATGGCTGGTGGGGGGGGGTTTCGTCCGTTTTTCGGGCAGCCTCCTTCCCGTAGCATGGCACCCCCCCCTGTGCGGCCTGATACCACTCACCTGCACCCCCAGCATCGCAGACTGCTGACCCAGAGACTACAGAACCGCAGGTGAGGGTCTGACTGGTGTCAGCTGACCCAGAGACTGCAGAACCGCAGGTGAGGGTCTGA